CCTGGAGTGTCCTTGACAGAGGGGAGAGTTTCCAGTCCAAAACCAAGGGGAGCAGTGTTGGGGTGGAGATGGAGGTCCCACTTGTGGGTCTGGAGAAGACTAGCGGGGGGGGGGTCAGGTCCCCAGCAGATTCCCCTTCTTAGGAAGTCCAGGGTGGGCAGGGGGTCCCGGGACAGGGGTAGTGGGTGCAGAGAACAGAGTCTCTCAGCTGGCATCCTGGGGGGTGGGGGGTGTGAAGTGGGATTCTGCTCTTGATGACAGCGTGTGTGGGAGGCACAGGGGTCCCTCCTGATAGAAAGTCCAGGTGGTTCCAGGGCTCTTACTGAAGCGTTTCAGGGTCCAGAGAGTGGCGAGAGTCTCATCTAGGGGTTCTTGGGTTCAAAGAGGCTCCCATGGAGATGTCCCTAGTTTGGAAAGTGCTAGAAGTTTTGCTGGAGCTGGTTCTGGGACTGCAGAGGTGGAAGCCCTGGCTGAGAGGCTTCTGGTGGGAAAGTCAGAGGTCCTTTCTGGAGGGCACTCTAGCTGCCTCCATGGTGGGTCCCTCTCACACATCCACCCTTGGGAGCTGCTGACCTGGAAGCCCCAGGTTCAGAGGGAATGGGATTGTCCTGTTGGGAGGAAACCCCTGCCTTGAAGGCTCCCAATTACAGGGGAGATGTCAAGATGGAGGGGTCCTGTATCTACAATCAGGGCTACCTGCTGGGGAATATGAGGCTGAGGGGTGGTCCTTGGTCTGGAGGAGGGCAGGGTGCCCTTGCTGGGGAGTGGTCTAGGTCCAGGGGGGTGGAAGTCACCCATCAGGGCCCAGGTCCTTGTTGAGGGTTCTGCACTGGCAGTGTGGTCTTTAGCAATGGTGCCCTGAAAGGATGTAGACATTCACAGTCCTCAGTGGGGCACCAGGGCCAGGAGGAGGCTGCGGTAGGACTTCCCAAGGAGCATCCCCAAGGGACATATCTGGAGACTCAGGAGACATTGTGGACAGAATGGCAGTCTGAGCCCAGAGGCAAGGACAGAGGTCCCTGCGTGTCTGAGGTCCGGGTCCAGAGGGGGTGAGGGTCCCCCAAAGCAGGGTCCTAGGCTTTCGCTGGAGGTCTCTTAACGTAATCCTAGGCCCAGAGGGGACTAGAAGGGCATGGGTCCAGGGGGTTCAGGCAGAGGAATGGGGTCCCAAATCCTCCCTGGAAGGTACTCTGAGGGCAGCCCTAGTCCCAAAAGGAACCGTGTTGGGGGATTCCTGCTGGGAGGAAGGGATTCGATGGTTCACCAAAGGGGGGGTTCTTGCTGGTGTGCACGCTAGGTCCTCGTTGGGGGTTTTCCTGGGAGATCCTAGTCCCAGAGCAGACTGGGAGCGATCTCCCCGGATAAGAGTACTTCGCGATGACGCCCGGGTCCCCAGGTGAGGCGGCGCTCACGTACCCACGGTGGTGACCAGCGTGCTGGCAAAGAAGAGCGCCGAGGCAAAGTCCCAGGCGGGGTCCGAGGCGTTGGCGGGCCCCGAAGCGTTGGCGAGCGCGGCGCGCCCCAGCCGTCCGGCCGCCAGCACCCGCTCCACGAAGGCGTCCAGGGCCGGGGCGGCCACGCACGGGCTGCGCCGCAGCAGCTCCTCGCGCAGCGTCTCCAGCTCGGCCCTGAGGCGAGCTTCGTGGGGCCGCTCCAGCCGCGCCACCAGCAGCGCGCCCAGCACCAGGTAGACCGCGTACGCGGCCAGGGCGCCCGCCAGGAGTGCGCCCCGCCGCATGGCGCCCGCCGCGACCTGCTCTCCACGGCCCCCGCCGCCCCGCTGACGTGGCCCCCGCCTCCCAGCCGCCCGGAGCCCAGCTTCAGTTCCGGCAGGGCTCGAGGCGCGTCTGCCGGTGCCCCGAAGAGGAAGAGGGAAAAGGGGAGGGGTGTGCGGGGGGGAGGAAGGCCCCGCCTCCGGTAAACTGAGGCACGCCCCAGCGCCAGGTGTTGAGTGCCTGGAGGGCGGAGCCCCGCGCTCCGGGACTCAGGACACCAACAGGATGGACAGGGTGGAGGGGTTCCTCTATTCCTTCCTTCTCGTCCTCCCAGTAGTCTGGGCTTCCTAAGTTAGAGAAAATCTCCACTCTTTTCCTCTGGCAGACCGGGAAGTCGCTCCCCAACTCCCCGGGGCCATCACGAAGATTGTGCACTGCATCGGGGCGCGTGGCTGGAGACAAGGGGGACAGACTGAAATTCGGTCCTTGCTCCATTCGCCCAGTCCTGCGTTCTGGATTGGGGCTGCACCCGCCCGGAGGGGACACTGTATAATTCACAAGGAGGGGGGCGCCTGGGGAACTCAGGGGGTTGGGCGCGCAGGACTCTTGGTTTGCGCTCAGGTAGTGATCTCATGAGTTGTGGGATCCTGCTGGGGTTGGACCCGGCTCAGCCCGGAATCTTCTTGAAGAGTCTCTCCCTCTGTACTTCCCCCTGCTCACAGGCGCGCAATCCCTCCTCTTTCTAAAATAAATAAATCTTAAAAAAATTTTTCAGAGGGGGCGCCTGGGTGACTCAGTGCGTTAAACCTCTGCCTTCCGCTCAGGTCATGGTCTCAGGGTCCTGGGATGGAGCCCTGCATCCAGCTCTCTGCTCAGCAGGGAGCCTGCTTCCCCCTCTCTCTCTGCCTGCCTCTCTGCCTACTTGTGATCTCCGTCTGTCAAATAAATAAACAAAATCTTAAAAAAAAATTCAGAGAGGGGCGTCTGGGTAGCTCAGTGGGTTAAAGCCTCTGCCTTTGGCTCAGGTCATGATTCCAGGGTTCTGGGATCAAGCCCCGCATCGAGCTCTCTGCTCAGCGGGGAGCCTGCTTCCTCCTCTCTCTCTGTCTGCCTCTCTGCCTACTTGAGATCTCTGTCTGTCAAATAAATAAATAAAATCTTTAAAAAAAAATTCAGAGACTCTTAACTGTACAGAACAAGTTGAAGGTTGCTGGAGGGGAAATAAGTGAAGGGATAGGGAACTGGGTGATGGGCCTAAAGGAGGGCACCTGATGGAATGAGCACTGGGCATCACTAATTCTACCCCGAAATTAATAATACACTATATGTTAACTAACTTGAATTTAAATAAAAATAATAATGATAATAATTCACAACAAGGGACACCACAAGGCAGGTGTCCCCTATCCCTCACGGACAGAATGGGTATCCTTAGCTCAAATCTCTGCTCACCACCTACTTCATGTCTGGCCCTTTGGTGGGGATACAGCAGTGACCCAGACAGCTCTAGACCTAGCCCACCGTGGCAGGGGGTGGGTGGGGTCCCAGCACTTCAAGTTCTAGACCTTGACCGCAGCAGGCGGGGAGGGGGGTGCTCCCAGAGTGGCAGCCAAGAAGGTCAGGGGTGTGATGAGGGAAGCACAGACAGAATGACTGGAGTTGGGATGGGGATACGAAAAGACTGGGGATGGATCCCCCAGGAACCCAGAGGAGATAACTGATCCAGCTTAGATGGGGTGAAGAGAGCTTCCTAAGGAAAGGGATGTCTGAACTGAGGCATTAAGGGAGAACAGGAGTGAGCCAGGGTCCCTCTTCCTAGCAGAACCACAGTATACCCCTCTGTTTAGGGGGGGTGGGAGTTCTTCCCTGGTCCCTGTTTTTCTCCATATACACTTCCAGCTGTAACTCAGTACTCTCCCTAACTGCCATTGGAGGGCAGCCAGGAATCCCGACCACATAAGAATGGCAAAGGAGCAGGGCTTGGGACCTGGCTTGGACACACCCCAGCTGGTTCTATTTATGAAGCTGTGACAGTTCTAGGGGCAGAGCCCAACTTGAGGCTGACAACCCACAGGAAGAGACACTTGATAATAAAAACAGAAAAACGGCAGCTGCCAGTGATCACAGGCTTACACTATGTCAGGCCCTGTGGACAGAGTGGCCTTGTAGTGAATCCTCGACCTCTCCTGTATCATTCCCATTAAACAGATGAGAGCATTTAGGCTGAAAAAGGGTCCAGTCGCACAACTGGTAAGGGGTAAATATGAGGCCAGCTGGAAGCCAAAACGCTTCCTTTATTAATACTGTGAATATCACAAAATATTCACGGAAGAACTTAAGACAGGGAGAGCTGCGGATGAAAAATGGTGGGGGGAGGGCTGGATGCTAAGCCAGGGGTCCAGAGGAGGAATGGGGGTACCTCAGTCATGAAAAAAGGACCGTGACTGAGCCAGGACTCATAACTGAGAGGCCAGACCAGTCCTCGAGGTCCCTAGAAAAGACAATATCTCAGAGGAGGAAAGGGAAAGCCACAGTGACAGGGTCACTTGCTGACATCCTTCCGGAGTGCTATCACTGCCCAGAAGTAGCTTCTACCGTTACTTTTGCCTGAGATAGGCGGAGGGGACTGAGCGACAGAGAAAGGGGAAAGAAAGGGGGGACACTGAGGGACAGAGAGAGACTAAGGAGCCTCCATTTTTAGGGTTGCTCGCTTGCGGGTGTGCCTCTGCGTGCTCCGTGTGGCTGGAGGTTGTGCAGTAGTTTTGGTAAACCCGCCGAAGCCCGGTCGCGACGCAAGAGCATTTTTACGACACCTGGTTCTTCCTACCTAATTTATCGGGTGCCCTTTTCTCACTCTAAATACTCACCTTAATACTTAAGGTCTGCCGAAATTGTATAAGCGTTAGAGTCTGCACAACTCTGCTTAGCCCCCTCGAGAATACAAATGGATCTCTCCTCCCCCGCTCCACACCCTTTCCTGGTTCCCCAAGGCTCTCAGCGACCCAAATCGATCGTCTGTCTCCATTTCCCGTCGGTCTTATCCCTCGATGCCTACACTTCCCATCATGCACGATAGAGCCAACTCCTAGGATTGTCCTCGGCCCCGCCCTCCCGCTAAACTAGTGCTGACTCTCGCCTTCCGCCACCGGCCTCCAGTCCCCGCCTCTTACCCAAGGCCAATTCGTAAAGGCCTCCGCGAGGGGCGTGGCCTCTGAGTTATCCTGACACCCATTGGCTGTCGTGTCGTCGGTGGGCCGTGGCTACGGGAGCCGGGCGGGCACATTTCGAACCGTGGCTGGGGCGGCGGCTGCGAGGGCTGCGACGGTGAAGGATGCACCCGGCAGGCTTGGCGGCGGCGGGGACGCCCCGGCAGCGTAAGTGGCGTACGTGGCCAGTCGTGGAGATCTGGGCGGTGGGTGTGGGGTGGCTGGCGGGGGCGTGGCGGGGCCGCCGCGGCAGTTGGCGAGGTCGCTGCAGGTCGGAGGTCACGGGGTCGGGGAGCTGGAGCTTCGGGGTGTGCCTTGCGCTGGGATGCCAGGACCGGGTAGGGGGCGCGTTGGGGTCGATCCTTCTTTAGGAAATTCCTTTGGAAGAAAACAACTTTGGGCAGGATATTGTGCTGTGCAGGAAAACGGGACTTTCATTCATTTGCAGTTAGCGATCAGCCTTCTCCCCAGCCTCTGGTGGCCTCGGGCTGTCGCCCACGCTCCGCAGGACAGCGTTCGGAGCCCTTCGTGAGCTGAGAGGACCCTGTTTACCTCTCATTTAAGATTTGAACTTGTATATCTTGTACTCTACACTCCTTTTTCCGTCTCTGTTAATTTGTATCTCTCTTGAAGTTCTTCATCTCGGCGAGTGTGCGTGCATCTCATTTCTTCCTTGAGCAGATCCTGCCTCAGCTCCCCTAGGGCCAGGCAGGACCTGTGCTGGAATCTGGGTACCTGGTAATAACCAGCCTAGCAGTAGTCCTTGGTAACTTCCAACTCCGAGTTTAGAGGTGAGACAGACGCTAAACTCGGAACAAGCAAGTCAGCGGGAAAATCTGGGGAGTGATTTTTCCCTGTAAAGGGAAGAATCCAGGATGCAGTGGAGGTTCAGAGGCCTGATGTCCTCATTCCTCCCTTCAGCCATTAATAAGGTGCATGGTGGGCCACGTGGTGGGTGATGCTGGGGCCACAGCCCTGGTTCCTGTCCTCAGGGAGCTACCAGTACAGAGCCTCCGTGCTATGTTGCAGGTGTTAATCAATCGTGGGAAAATATTCCACAGTGCTGGCACTGTATGTTCCAAGGCCTCTGTGGGCCAGGAGCTTGGCAGAGTCAGGGCCCAAGAGGCCAGTGTGTGACTGGGTGCAGTGAGGCCCAAGTGGTAGCAAACGAAGGTGGCTGGCCAGGCTGGGGTCATGCCAGGCCTTGTAGGCCTGTAGATTTTATTCCCAGCACAGTGGGGACTGATCTTAGGCAGGGGACAAGAGATGTTTCCTTGCACATTTAAGATCACTGTGGCTGCTGACTAGAGAGAAGGTTGGCAGAGCAAGAACGGGTTGGGGGATTTAGGAGGAGGACATTTAAGTCACGTTCAAGACCATGGAGTCTGCAAGGGGAGGGTAAACATTGAAACATAGTGGGTGAGAACTGGCGATTAGTTGGTTGGGTGCCAGAGAGAAGGGGAATCAGAGGCTTGGACACTGGGTGGAGGGCACTGTCGGGAGCTGGACGGACCTGGGTGTGGGGCCAGGAGAGAAGTGGTGGCTGGAGACGGGGCCCACCGCCCAAGGCTCACAGTGGCTGAGAAAGCCGCGGGCGGGTGAGAGGCAAAGCCAGAAGTGTGCGAAACTGGGCCACACGTTTCAGGAAGCTAAAAAAAGAAAAAAAAGTGCTGGGTGGAGAGGGACCAAACTGGAGACCCTCAGCTCCGGAAAGGCAGGACTTTTGGTCTTTTTGATCATTGCTCTGTCCACCATGCCTGCAGCAGAGCCTAACACACAGGGGTGCTCAAGAGATGTTTGTGGGGCTCAGGAAAGAGGAGGAGGTGGGTGCTGTGTCTCGGAAGCCAAAAGAGCAGAGAGAGCACGGGGGCGTCACATGCTGCTCGAGCCGGGTGTTAGTGGCTAATGGCCTTGGGCTGGCAGTGTCGAGGGGTGTTTAGGAGGTCAGTGGGAGGCAGAACCCCAAATACTGAGAGCTGAAGGGGTGCAACAGGGAGGAAGGAAGGGCTTGCACTAAAGGGGCAGGGGGAAATGCCGGTGAGCCTTGGGGCTAAGTGGGTTGGGATCAGTGCTGCTGGCTTTGGGATTGGGCGCCCTTGGATCTGTCTTCAGGTGACAGATAACTGAGAGGAAGAGTTGAGGGCCTTGTAGTTGACAGTAAGGGGCAGGGATGGACAGGCCAGGGGTTGAGGAGTTAATGAGCATCACTGGGCTTTGGGCCATGAACTATTCCACGGAAGAGAGAACTGAAATTCGGACAGAGTCAGCACACAGATTATCGAGTTCCTCTTCCCCATCCAACTGTAACCCTCTTACCTGCTCCCTGGATCCACGGTGGCGCTTGGGACACAGGAGGAGCTCACTCAGTAACTGCTGGGTTGGCGTTGCTTCCGGGTTGGGAGCAGGGACCCTGGGGCCAGAGCGCTGGGTTCAAATTCATCCTTTCCACATTCCCTTTCTCTTCTCTCGTCCTTACCCTATCCTAAGCACGCCTCCAGCAAGTCCTGACCCTCCGACCCGCAGCCCCCTCTCCACCACTGCCCCCACCCCTCCATCCCTTCTTCTCCCCCCACGACTCCCCCACTGGAGCAGCTCCCTCCCTCCCCCTACCCCCCCACCCCAATCTGTTACCCACAAGAAGCCAGAGGAACCTTTTAAAAACTTGAAGCCTGGCTCTGCTCCATTCTGGCCCAGTAACTTTGGGCAAGGGCCCGAACCTCTCTGGGGCTGGCTTTTCCTGTCTTAGCAGGGGCATGGGGTGGGGGTGGACAATAGCACTGACGCAGATAAATGAGTTAGTCCATAGCGCGTAGAACACTGCCCAGGATGTGGCAAGTGCTTACTTGGGGTTTAATTACCTTTAACATCGAGCAGGCCTCCCTGGGCTAGAGTCCTGTCCCGTCACTCGCTCAGCCTGGTGCTGCACATAGGTCATCCCCACCCCCGCCCTCCCCCCATCCTGGCCTGTCACCACCTCTGTAACTTGGGGTGGGCCCTCATTTCTCAGCATTTCATCAGCCCTCTACTCCAGCCCTGTGTTAGGGGCTGGGGATCCAGGCATGAACCAGACCAAGCTCCCCACCTTGGGGGGCTCCCATTTGAGTGGGGAGACAGTGAACAAAATAAAGCAAGTGGCCAGTGTATGAGCTAGTGTGTTCTGGGTATAGTAAGTGCACCAGGGAAGGGGGATGGGGAGTGCTGTCAAGGACCATGTGGTCAGAGACAGGATGGTAGGGAAGGCACTGCAGAGCCAAGACCTCAAGGAGGGGAGGGAGCCATGGGGCGGGGGGGGGCGGGGGTTGCGGGGGGAAGCATTCGGGCAGAGGAACAGCCCTTGCAAAGGCCCTGAGGTGGAGCATGCCTGGTGTCTTCACTGGCCACTGAAGCCCATGTAGCTAGAGCCAACAAGGAGGGGAGCGCAAAGGGAGACACTGACCGAGACCCTGTTTGTAAAAGGCTTTGGACAGGATCCTGTGGACAGCAGGCCCAGCACAAAGTAGCTCTCAACATCATCGTCACTGTGGTGATTTGGATGGATTGAGGACAGGCAGACAGAGCCCGCCCCGCACCTGCCTCGACGCCCATCTGACCTGCAAACCAGGGCTTCATGGCAGCTGGAGGAGAGCGCCTGCGGCCTGAATGACGCCCCCCCACCCTCTTCCCCTGCAGCGTCCAAGCGGAGGATCCCAGTGTCCCAGCCCGGCATGGCCGACCCCCACCAGCTCTTCGATGATACGAGTTCGGCCCAGAGCCAGGGCTACAGGGCCCAGAGGGCACCCGGTGGCCTGGGCTACCCTGCAGCCTCCGCCTCGCCCCAGGCTGCCTTCCTGGCGGATCCTGTGTCCAACATGGCCATGGCCTACGGGAGCAGCCTGGCCGCCCAGGGCAAGGAGCTGGTAGATAAGAACGTGAGTGCACTGGGCTGCCCCGGGTCGGGGGAAGGTGGGGGCCGTGAGGCCAGGGCTTCAGGCTTGGGTTCTGCCTCCCCCTAGATCGACCGCTTCATCCCCGTCACCAAGCTCAAGTACTACTTTGCCGTGGACACCATGTATGTGGGCAAAAAGCTGGGCCTGCTCGTCTTCCCCTACCTGCATCAGGTCAGCACTGTGCCACGGAGGGCAATGCCATCCGAGGAGGGGGATCGTCTGGGGCTGGTGGGGGGTGGGGGTAGAGGGTGAGTCAGAGGCCAGGCAGGTATTGGGTGTGTGGGGGGGTAGGTCTGCCCCGAGAGGGGGCCTGGAAGCAGCATGGGAGGAGCCCACTCTGTGGGTCCCACCTGCTCCCCTCACTCTCCCCACAGGACTGGGAAGTGCAGTACCAGCAAGACACACCTGTGGCCCCCCGCTTTGACGTCAATGCTCCTGACCTCTACATTCCAGGTCTCCCCCTCCCCATCACTGCCCCACACCCTCCTCCCTCTGGGTGGGCACGTCTAGGGCAGAGGACTAGGTGCCTAGTGGCCTGGGATGGTCCATCTTCCTCTGACCAGTGTCTGTGTGTCTGCCTCCCACAGCTATGGCTTTCATCACTTATGTCTTGGTGGCTGGCCTGGCGCTGGGGACCCAGGATAGGTAAGGGAGGCCTGGGGTAGGCAGAGTGGGGTGAGGTTTGGGGGGCTGAGGGGCAGTCAGGAAGGTCTCTTGGATTTGTCTTGGAACAGCACCACCACGCACCCATCTGGTCCAGGACAGAGCCCTTGGGGTCATGGTCAGTGTCACCCTCGCCTCCTCCCTTGCTTTCCACCCACTTGCAGCCCATCACCACACCTGTGGCGGGTGACCCCATCCTTTTTAGCCTCCACCACCAGATCCAGCTCCTCCTCACTGCCTCCTAACCAGCTGCTTTGCCCACATGCCCTCCGTACCCTGACTCCAACAGCAGCCCGGAAAATCTGGTCTGAGACCTGGGTCTGGCCCTGTCTACCCTGCTCAGAAGCTGTCCAGAGCTCTCCCATCCCCAGATCTAGCCCTGGCTCCTTAGTCTCACGCACTGCACTGCCTCCCCGCAGCCTCTCTCTGTCCTGACTCAGAGTCCTGACTCTGCTTCACCATTCTAGTCCTCGTTCCATCCTCCAGAGGGCCTGGTGCTGTCCGTTCCCACCCCAGGGCCTTTGCACATCCAATTCCCTTTGCTCCAGAGTATGTTCCTCCCTTGCATCACCTGCTGAGCACCTGCTCACCTGCGATGTCTCCACTCTGGTGTCAGTTATTCGGGGAAGTCTTCCCACCCCCAACTGGGTGAAGCTCCCACATCTCGCTCATAGGCTCCAGTTCATTTCTTTTGTGGCATTGAACTGTCATTAGAATCAGTTAACTGTTGTACTTGGGATATGGCAGAGGCCATGGTCCTTCCCCACCAGTCAACTCCTTATTCCTTCAGGCCTTAGCTCAGGTGTCTTCTCCTCTGGGGGTGCCCTCTCTGACACCTTCTCCTGAGTGGGTCAGGCACTTCCCATGCCCTGTGCTTCCCTCATCCCAGCCCCGACCTCTCGGGGCTGTCACTGAGGACAGGTCCACCTTCCCTGGCACGAGATTTCCAGGAAGATAGAGTCCAGATCCCTCTTGGTCACTGTTCAATCTCTAGCCCCACCCAACACAGGCTGTCCCCAGCTGGATGCTCTGGGTGTGCGCCGGCCATCAGGGTGACAGCCTGGTGCCCGCAGGTTCTCCCCAGACCTCCTCGGGCTGCAGGCAAGCTCTGCGTTGGCCTGGCTGACCCTGGAGGTGCTGGCCATCCTGCTCAGTCTCTACCTGGTCACTGTCAACACTGACCTCACCACTATCGATCTGGTGGCCTTCTTGGGCTACAAATACGTTGGGTGAGTAACCCCCTCCCACTTCCCATCCCACCCCACCCCCCACCACCGCCCTAGCCCTGAGGCCTTGCCCTCAGACCAGCCTTCCCCTCTCTCCCCAGGATGATTGGCGGAGTCCTTATGGGCCTGCTCTTTGGGAAGATTGGCTACTACCTGGTGCTGGGCTGGTGCTGTGTGTCTATCTTTGTGTTCATGGTGAGCCGGGTGGGGCTGGGGAGGAGGAAGGTTGAGGGCACAAGCCCTGAGTCGGGGTCCCCTGGGGCATCCAAGCAGAGGATGTTAGGCAAGGAGTTGAGGTGAGAGTGCCGTTGCTGAACTGAGGAGGCTTCAAGTGCCTGTCTCAGCCTGTCCAGGGCTTCCTGGAAGAGGGGGTGTCTAAGCTGGGGCAGGAAGGCAGAGCAGGAGCCAGCCGACCTGTCAGGCTGGGCTCTCAGCCTCACACCACCCTTCCATGGTGGGCTCTCCTGCCAGAGTTTGTTAGGATGAAAAGAGGTTTGGTACCCTTGGAAACAGCTTCTCTGGATCCCCAGCAAATTCCTTCCTCTCTTTAAACATGTTTCCCGTTTTGCAGAAAGGGGGATGATGATGAAGGCACCCCAAGGCCCTGGGAGGAGGCCGTGTGAGCAGGTGTGAGGAGCAGAGGGCAAAAGTGGTTGGCCAAATCTCACCCTTAGAGAAACTTTGACTTAGAGGTCGTTACTTAAAGGCTTAAAAAAAAAAAAAAAAAAACAACCTTCCTGGCTTCTGTTGAAAACTGTCATCCGGCCAACATAAGCAGGGTGGCAGCAGCCACGGCTGAGCCTGCTGCCCTCCTCGGGCAGGGTATGAAGCTCTGCGTCTCACTCAGCTCGGAACCCTCACATTTACTCCTGGGCCTTGGGGAGGAGCAAGTCCTCACTATCCCTTAGAGGAGATGTGGGGGGAAAACCTAGGCTCCCCACGAGCAGAGAGACTCGAACCCAGCCGCCCCGGTGGAGGGAGAGAGGTAGGGCTTGGAAGTACCTGCCGGCGCCTCAGCCCGGCCCAGGACTCAAGGGTGAACCCCCTCCCGCCCCAGATCCGGACGTTGCGGCTGAAGATCCTGGCGGAGGCGGCGGCCGAGGGCGTCCCGGTACGCGGGGCCAGGAACCAGCTGCGCATGTATCTGACCATGGCGGTGGCGGCGGCGCAGCCCCTGCTCATGTACTGGCTCACCTTCCACCTGGTGCGATGAGGGCGGCCCGGCCCACGCCCCCGGCTGCTGCTGCTCCTCGCGGCCGCGCGCCGCTGCCGCTCCTCCGCCCGCCCGCGGGGGCTCCGGCGTCGCGCCCACCCCGAGACCCTGCCCCCCGCCCCCCCGTCGCCGAGGTGCCGAGATCTCCAGCGGCACCCGCCGCTCGGTAGAGCGGCCGCTGTTCCGGAAACAATAAACGGTGATGGGAACGGCGTGCGCACCTCTCTTTGGCGCGGCCGCCCGGCAGGGGGCAGGCCCCGCCCGAGAAGGGGGACGGGCGGGGCGGGGCCGGTACCCAACTTGGCGACCAGAAGACGACCCGAGAGTCGAGAAAAGATTTAATAAGACCACCGGGCCGGTCAGTGAGAAGTCTCCTTCTTCGCCTTCCCTTTCTTTTCTTTCTTCTTTTTCACCTTGGGCTTCTTGACCTTGGCCAGCGTGCTTTCGTGTCCTTGCGAGGCGGCCGCGTGAGGCTGTGGGGCCGAGAGTGGAGCGGATGGAAGGGGAGAGCCAGGGTTAGGACGGTGAGACGACTGGCCGGGGCTCTCCCCTCACTTGGGGCGCTTGCTTGCGGGGAGCCTCTTACCTTTCCTTCCATGTCCGAGTCGCTGGAGCTGCCGCTGCTGCTACTGGAGTCCGAGGAGCTGCGGTGACCGTGGCCCTGCCAGTTGGGAGGCGAGGCAGTGAGGCTGGGACCCCTGACCCCGCCGCTGTCCCCTTCATCCTGGGAGGGATGTGCCTGGTCCTAAGGTGACTTACCCTTGGTTTATCAGCCGCCCCTGTCTCTGACGCGCCCTGAACTTTGTGGGGGCCGTGTTTATGGTCTCCCCCCTGGCCCGTCCCCTGAGGCTTCTTGGAGTCTAGGGCTGTGGAGAGAAGTTGGGTGGGTTGGTGCAGGTGCTGCGCAAGCGCCCTTGGAGGAGGTTGCTGTGTTTTAGCCTGGCCCCCTGCGTCTCAAATGCCCCACTTCCCAGCTCACCTGCGGCCAAGTCGAACTCCATGGTGAGAGGAGGTCTGTGGGGAGAGCCGGGAGAGCCGCGAGTGCCCGGATGCAGGAGGAAGGACGAGGGGAGGAGCAGCGGGAACTCCCTGCCCAGGGACTTCTGAGGAGCCCCACCCAACCTGGGTCAGAGTCCTTAGCCTTGGCTCATAGCCCCTCCCCAGCACCACCCAGCTTTTTTTCTGTGGGAAATGGGGTGGGTGGACAGTTGATTGCTAAATTTCCACCTGGTGAGCCTTGGCAAGTGAGGGGGGGTGCTGCGTGGGCAACTGTAGATATCTGGGGAGAGGGCTGGAGCTGTCACCTGCTTTCCCCAAAGGGTCAGATGCCTGCTTTTGAAGAAGTAAGAGGGCGCCTCCCAGGGCCCTCTGTACCATTGTAACGCTAACACTCTGTACTTAACTGCGGGCCAGGCACTGTTCCAAGGGCGTCAGACACCATAGCTCCTTTTTTTTTTTTTTTAAAGATTTTATTTATTTTTTAAAATTTTATTTATTTATTTGATAGACAGAAATGACAAGTAGGCAGAGAAGCAGGCAGAGAGAGAGCAGGGCGAGGCAGGCTCCCTGCCGAGCAGAGAGCCCAATGCGCGGCTTGATCCCAGGACCCTGAGATCATGACCTGAGCCGAAGGCAGAGGCTTAACCCACTGAGCCACCCAGGCGCCCCTTATTTATTTGACAGAGATCACAAGTAGGCAGAGAGTCAGGCAGAGAGGTGGGGGTGGGGAAGCAGGCTCCCTGCTGAGCAGAAAGCCAAATTCGGGGCTTGATCCCAGGACCCTGAGATCATGACCTGAGCTGAAGGCAGAGGCTTAACCCACTGAGCCGCCCAGGCGCCCCACATTAGCTTGCTTTAACCACCCCGGATGGCTTTGTGAGAAGCTATGCCCGAAGGGGTTAAGTGCGGGAACTTGGAACCGACCTCCTGAATTTGAAGACCCACTATATCGCTCAGTAGTGGGATGAGCTCAGAAGTCATTTTGCCCATCTGTGCCTCAGTTTCTTCGTGTACATGGCAGCCTCCTTATGGGGTTGTTGTCATGGATTCGTTTCTAGAACTGTGCAGAGCACAGTTCTAGAAACGAATCCACAGCTTGTAAGATAATGTTTAGGCTTTTTAAATTAGAAGGTATGTTATTAGTTACTATCCCTATTTTACCCATGAGACCACTGAAAGACCAAACAAGGTGACAAGGGGCCAGTGTATTATGAATGGCTAGAGCTGGGATTCACACCCAGTGTGGCTCAAGTCCAAGGCTCTGGCCCCTGTGGCTCTCCCTGGAGGGCTCCCCAAACTGGGCTGTGCCAGTCAGGCTGCTGGGAGGGGGTGGAGAGGGGAGGCCTGAGCCATCCCCTCCCCTTGCTGTGAGGCCAGCTCTGCCACCAGCAGCTGGGCCCCCACACTGGCGGGACCCAGGCAGGCAGGAGTGACAGCTGGGGCCTGGGGATGAAGAGAACCCGTGCACTCAGGTCTCTGCTCCAAGGCACATTCCTCAGAGAGGCCTGCCCTGACTGCTGGCTCCACACGGCCTGTCACTTCCGACCTCTTTCCCCTGCTTGATGACCAGCTTAGCCCTTAAAGGCAATAAAAGTTATCTTTATCGTCAATTTCTTCAACATGTATTTGCTGAGTACCTACTATGTGCCTGGCACAGCTCGGCTGCTGAGGATACAGAGGTTAACAAAACTAGCAAAAGCCCAGCCACACGGGACTTGATATTCTAGTGGGGGAAACAAGGTGTAAAATGTACAGAATGTTGAAAACAACTGGAAATGAAGATTTCTATGAGTTGGTAAGTGGATATACAAAATGTGAATACATAACAGGACTCTACTCCACCAAACAAAGGAATGCACTGACATGTACTGCATCGTGCAGAAACGTTCTTCCCCGGGCGCAAGCAGCCAGGCCCAAAGGACCACATACTGTTGTTGGCCAGCGCTCACACTGAGTGTTCAGAGAAGGGTTACTGAGGCAGCAGGTCAGGGGGTGCTGGGAGCTGCACGGGAAATGGGGATTAACTATGAGCATGAGAGCTAATTGTGGGGGGATGAAAACATGTTTGAAAACTGATTTATGGTAGTAATTCCACCACTTGGTAAAAATGATTAAAAACTGGGGCGCCTGGGCGATGCAGTCAGTCAAGTGTCCCACTCTTGGTTTAGGTTCAGGTCATGATCTGTGTGTGGTGGGATCAAGCCCCATGTTGGGCTCCATGCTCAACAAGGAGTCCGTGCAAGGTTCTCTCTCTTCTTCTCCCTCTGCCCCTCCCTCCTTCTCTAAAAATAAGTAAATCTTGAAAAAAAATTATTAGAAGCCCCTGAAGTATACATTTAAAATGGGTGAGTTTTATGTAACTTATGCTTGAGGCATAAGTAATATGTGCTAAGAAGAGAAATACAGCAAAAAAGGGGGCTAGAGGGGCGCCTGGGTGGCTCAGTGGGTTAAGCCATTGCCTTCGGCTCAGGTCATGATCTTAGAGTCCTGGGATCGAGCCCCACATCGGGCTCTCTGCTCAGCAGGGAGCCTGCTTCCTCCTCTCTCTCTGCCTGCCTCTCTGCCTGCTTGTGATCTCTCTGTCAAATAAATAAAAATCTTTAAAAAAAAAAAAAAGAAAGGGGGCTAGGTAATAACTACATGGTATGTGGGAGAGATAATTGGATTTTAGGTAAGAGTTAGCAAGGAAAGCTTCACTCAAGTCTTTTTTGAATAAAGATCTGAAGATGAGGGGTGCCTGGGTGCCTCAGTTGGCTGGGCATCTGCCTTCAGCTCTGGTTGTATGATCGCAGAGTCCCGGGATCCAGCCCATTGGGCTCCCTGCTCAGCGGGGAGTCTGCTTCTCCCTCTGCCGCTCTCCCCTCTTGTGCTCTCTCTCAAGGTGGCTCAATGGGTTGAGGCCTCTGCCTTCGGATCGGGTCGTGATCCCAGGGTCCTGGGATCGAGACCCGCATCAGGCTCTCTGCTCCACAGGGAGCCTGCTTCCTCCTCTCTCTCTGCCTGCCTCTCTGCCTAGTTGTGATTTCTGTCAAATAAACAGAATATTTTAAAAAAATAAATAAATAAAAATAAGATTCTCTTAAAAAAAATCTGAAGATGAGATAAACCATGCAAACACACGGAGGAAGTGTTCTAGGCAGCGGGAATAGCAAGTGCAAAGGTCCCGAGGTGGGAATGTACCTGAGTGATGAACTGCAAGGACTTCCCAGTGGCAGTGAGAATGGAGGGAAAGACACAGGAGAGGAAGGATGGTAATGGTGGAGAGTTGGGGGACTAGTACATCAAAGGCCTTTGATCTTTACTCCTCCAAATAAGAAGTGGTGGTGAACAATGATTATGGCTTTATGCATAACTGGATGCAGTATATGAGAAGTGTTTTCCCAAGCAAAACAAATTCCATGAGGGTTAGGGACCTTTTCTGCTTTGCTCAGCACCCAGAACAGTGTGACTCAGAATGTGGTACTATCATTTGGTGAACCGGTGAGGTTACCTGATGCCAGGACCGCTGCTAATGTAATGGCAAGGTAGAGCAAGCACAGAGTGCCTAGGAGTTTGTGTTACGGAGGTCAGTCTGCTCAAGGTGAAACCTCACTCTACCCCTTACTGCCCTATGCTAAGTAAGTCAACTAGTGTGCACCACAGTTTTGTCCTCTGTAAAACGGCAGACTTACTTCATGAAGTATGGTTGTTTCTGGGGCCTGCCCAGCACAAGGGAAATAGAGGCTCAGCAAATACGAGTTTTTATTCACAAACACGATCTCATATGCTTACCTGTGAACCTGGCAGTAGGATCCCATGTTCTGTATGAGGCAGTGGAGCCTCAAAAAAAATGGTCTCGTGTCCAAGGATGCTGGCCTAGTAGACTGCAGATCAGTAGTGGGAGACCTTCCAGACCTAAGACAAAGTAGCTCCTTACCACTTAGCTAAGACTGTGGGGAGGGTGAATGGGCCCAGGGAAGGGCCTGGCCTGATCCTCCGCATTCCCCTCCCCGCCTCACTCCTGCATCATAGTTAGGATGTCGCCACTCTTACAGAGACCAGAAAGAGCCTTAACAAGATAGCTGTACTTTTCTCTCCATAAAATCATCCAGGGACCCAGACTAACTCTAGTTGTTCTGCATCCTTCCCGGGTGTGGTCAGAACAGAGAGGGACACTGGCCACCACCATCAGAGTTGTGGGAAGGGAAAGGGCAAGGGCAAGTGGAGGGCACACTAGTCCCTTTCAAGGGCCACACCCAGAAGCAGCACCTGTCCCTCTGGCCCCATCAGACCCAAGGTCACATCTAGCAGCAGGGGAGGCTCAGAGAATACAGCTCCAAGGTGAGCAGCCACATATCTCACAAAAATCTGGGGACTTCTTTACAGAAAGGAGGAAAGGGAAAATGGACACGGGAGCCTGTCGGTCATGACTCCCTCTTGGCGGCAGTGAAAATACCCTCATTCCCTGGCTCTAACCCAGAAGACTTACAGATGGAGCCAGATTAAAGCTGGGAAGGTGAACCCAAATGCTCGATGAAAAGCAGGGCTGAGGGCCTAACACAGCCTTCTGCTCTGCTCTTGGGAAAATAGCCCCCACCATTCAGTACTCACCTAGAACGCTAAACAGCACAGGGACAGTAGCTTACGGCCCTCCCCAGGCCCAGCCTGCCCCTGACCTCTAATGGCTCTGCCCTCCTCCGCTTGTTTCCTCCTTATTTCTGCCCAACAGGACTAAGTGTTAAGGGTATAAGCAACGCCTTCTCCCCTGTAGAAGAAAGGGACTTGTGTTCCCAACTTGCCTGCAATGCTGCCATTCCCTAGATCAGCTCTCCCTTTCTCTAGCTTTTCACCAGCAGACCCTCTCAGGAGGCTCATCCCAGCCCTGAAGTTTGGACTTAAATCACTTTAGATAGAGACTGCCGGATGCCAACTTCAGTGGCTAGGGAAGCCAAGGTGGAGTAGGAACAAGGAGTGGGCCGCTGGGACACAGCCCTCCACAGATGTACTGCGCTCAGTCGACCGCCACGGCTCCCTGGAAAAGCAACTTGCGCAAGGCCTGCTTTCCTCTCTTTCCTGAAGTTTACGTGAACGGAGCGCCCTGGTCCTATAAACATCATAATCCTGGGACTGGGATGTTTTCTTTGAACTTAACCACATCCCAGGAGATGGAGCCTTTTAAGCACCCCGCATACAGGGACTCCGCTTTCTTTCCCACAAGACCAAAGTGCTATCCTGGCCCTGGCTGTTCTGGAACACTAATGATCACAACATCATAACGTGCCGCCCTTTGGGACAGGCCAAGAGGTGGACAGCCTGGCCGGGGAAAGCTGAGCTTGGCCACCAACCAGCTGACCGTTGTGTCTGGGATTTGCTTTCACTCTATTTGCAAGCTAACAAGTTAGCCCGTAACTGTTTTCAAAATGCT